AATACAAGACATTTGCCAATGATAATGTTAATATTAGATTTTTGGTAATGGTAAGATTAGCCGTTTAGTAAAGTTAATGGTAGTATTAACCGTTGGTAATGGTCTGTTTGGTAATGAAGATTATAATATTAGATGGTTGGTAATGGTAAGATTATCCTTTTGGTAATAGCAATGTTAATATTAGCTGTTTGATAATTATAATAGCAATATCAGCGATTTGGTGGTGGTCATGGCAATTGTAATATTCCCCATTTGGTAATGACAATGGTAATATTCCCCATTTGGTAATGATAATGCCAATATTAGCGATGTATTTGTGTAATAGTTATATTAACTGGTTGGTAATGGTAATATTTATATTATCCGTTTGTTAATGATAATGATAATATTGGCCGTTTCTTTATAAGGAAACATTCGGAATTCATTGACCGAGCAGTCATTTAAAATTTATAAAATATTTCTCTTAAAACAATTTTTCAGGATCTTAGGCTTTTCAAGTTAACTAATTGTTATCGTTCTTTCCAGTAATTATGGGTTTTTCCTTCCTAATTTTTTTATGTTTATACTGCGAAAGTGTCATAAAGCAGAAGGATGATGGTGCCTCAGTAATATGAGATTTCTTTTTTTCCGATGTCATTTCAGCGATCTATATCGTCTGTACATCTCGGAAAATCTTTACTTTCATTGTCTTTATCGTTGTCTATGAATTGTGTTGAATGACTACGCGATGGAGATTTGGGAAATTTAAATCAAATTTATCGTATCATTCCAGACCAATCAGCTCTTTCATTGCTTTCATCATTCTTTATGAATTGTCTGGAATCGCTATCCAATAAAATATCAGAGTATAACCCCCTCCACCCCCCCCAAAAAAAACCCCAAAAACAACGAAACGGGAAATTTAAGGAGGCAAGGTGGAGTAATGGATAGCGGCTCGGATTGAGGAATCGGAGAGCCGGGTTCGAATTCCAGTCGAAATCATTACATTCACTTTTACGTAATAATACCCTATGGATAAATAACAGAACAGACCGGGTTCTATAGCCTTGGGCGGAAACTGGTCTACCGCAGAAAGAAATGGCAACCTACTGCTGGAAAAATCTGCTTCGAAAGATACATGATCGCCTAAGCGTGTATCACGCATGGTACATAAATGAGTTGAAGATTTTGGCAGCAATGATGAGAATTTCTTTCTGAATTTCTGGCATGAGGATTTATCATTATTTACACTATTTATATTCGGACTACTGTCCTCATTTTTGTTGTTGTTATCACAATGTTTCGGCCGTTGCGTTCTCTGGCCTTCATCAGTTGTATATCGAACTGAATCCTTTAATTAATCCACTGCCCATGTTTAGAGATATCTCATCTAGTTTCTTATTTTTAGTACTGTTTAGTTATTGCCCGTCTACTTCCCCAGAGTCCAAGTACACACTCCCCGGTCAAATACAAAATGACCTTTAATCCACTAGGCCATTTTCTCGTAGGAGAATTTGCTGTAGTGAACTTGGGGACTTAAACCTAACATACTAGCCCCATTAATACGGTAACTACTGCTGCTGCTTGTCAGTAAGAGCAATCTAGATGTAGATTTCTGACATTTTTCATCTTCAGATGAGTCCGATGACAATATTGATCATGTTACAGAAGAAAGTGATTATAAAATCATGAACGAAACTTTTCTTTTAATTTCTCTTCTTTTTAGTTCATATAATCTAATGAAGTTTGAATATCTTTTGTTATATATATATATATATATATATATATATATATATATATATATATATAACTATTTATTTAAAAATATGATTCCATCGCTACATGAGAGTTTTCATGTTTCAAAACAAGAGCCGAAAACTTCAATATAATTATTTGAATTAAATTGAATTAAAGTACCAAGCTCTGTTCCATCTTAAGGCAAAATTTTTTTTTGAATAACTAATTCCTGAAATTTACGCGTTTTATAAGCATATTCATTATTAAAATTAAAATTACTATGGTAACGGCTAGAGCAATTATTTAAAAAACAGGGGGCATAAGGGTTAATAATTTGTATCAATATCTCAGTTACATTCAAAGACGTCAAGTCAGGGTAAGGTTGGGGTGTCTAAATTCAAAGCGGAAGAAGATATCGCCTAGTCTGGTTAAGTGTCTATGGAGATTTATTTATTTTTTTATTTTATTTTTTCCTGAAAGGGTTTTGTGTATATAAAAAGAAACTGTCATAATTCGCTAACATTTTTTGACGACTTCATAAAGGTTTTTTTTTTATTGGGTAAGGCATTTAAACTTTTATATATATATATATATATATATATATGCAAGTGAATATTGAAGTCCATACTCATACAGTCTGTTTCATGCTAAAAGCAATCATCAGACTTGAAACAGTCTGTTACCTCTGAGTGTTGAATTCAATGTTGAATTCATATTTGCATACGCTCTGTCATAATGGACACTTTATCCCATAAAAATAGCATATCTCAAAAATTATATTTCT